GAATTAAAAATGGTTGGAATTACACAAGCCGGAGGGATCTCAGGATTCCAGGATAGAGGGACAGCAGGATCGTGGGATAACGGGATGGTCGGGTTGTGGTATCGGGGTTTTGGGGTGTCCCCTGTGCACCCTAAGCCTTGAGCCTCCGCCCGGTTGTTTTGGGGGCGTGTTTTGTGCTCCCCCCGGGAATTAAAAATGGTTGGAATTACACAACGAGATGAGCCTGAGGGGTAAATAACTGGATCGAGAGGTCTGGGGATTGTGGGATAATGAGATTGGGGTTTTAGGGAGTCCCCTGCGCCCCCCGAGACCCCCCCTCATGTTTTGAGGGTGCGTTTTTTGTCCCCCCCCAGTAATTAAAAATGGTTGGAATTACACAAGGAGCCAGAGAGATCTTCAGATTCCAGAATGGAGGGATTTGGGGACTGTGGGATAGTGGGATGGTGGGGTTGTGGGATCGGGGTTTTGAGGTGTCCCCTGCACTCTCCAAACCCCTGCAACCCCCCCTCTTGTTTGGGGGTGCATCTTTTGCCCCCCCCCTTTGGAAATTAAAAATGGTTGGAAATAGGGAATGAGTCAGGGTTTGAACTGGGAGTCACTGGTCTGAACTGAGGGGGATGTGGGCAGACTGGGAGTCATGGGTTTGAACTGGGAAGGGTCAGTGACTTGGTGCCCCCCCAAACACAGGTTTTGGGGGGGGAGGTCCCCAGTGTCCCCGGGGGCTGTGTCCCACCACCCCCACGTGACTCCAACCCCAGGCAGGCCTTCACAAACACCTCGATTTGGGGGGTGATTATTAAAAAATAATTTATTCATTCATCAACAGACCTTCCTCGTACACACCACGAGGCCATTCCAGGGTGCGGGGGACACTCACCCCAGTGTCCCCATGGTCCTTTGGGTTGGGGGTTGACACTGTGACCCCATCACAGCTCAGTGTCCCCATCGAATGTCCTGGTGTTGTTGTCACCTGTAGCTTGTTGTGGGGGTGGCCCTGTCACAGCTCAGTGTCCCCATCAAATCTCCTGGTATCACTGTCACCCACGGGCTGTTGTGGGGGTGACACTGTGACCCTGTCACAGCTCAGTGTCACCACTGGGGTGTCCTGGTGTCCCTGTCACCCACAGGCCGTTGTGGGGATGACACTGATCTCATGATCCTCTCACTGCTCAGTGTGCCCACAGTGCTGTCCCAGTGACCCTGTCTCAGTGGGGGTCACACTGTGACAGTGTCCCTGTCGGGCTGCCCCCGTGTCACTGTCCCAGTCACAGCCCCGTGTGGGGCTGACACTGTGACCCTGTCACAGCCTGATGTCCCTGTCCTGCTGTCCCCATGTCACTGTCCCAGTCACAGCCCAGTTTCCCCATCAAAATGACACTGTGACCATGTCATATCCAGGTGTCCAGCCTGGTGTCATAGTCCTCCTGTCCCTGTCACTGTCACATCCCAGTGTCCCCATCCTGGTGTCCCATCACATCCCAGTGTCCAGCTCACTGTCCCCCTCCTGGTGTCGCTGTCCCTGTCCCATCCCCATGTCCAGCCTGTTGTGTCCCTGTCCTCATCCTGATGTCACTGTCCCCATCCCAGTGTCCCTGTCCCCATGTCCCTGTCACATTCTGGTGTCCCTGTCACATCCCAGTCATCCTGTCCCCGTGTCCCTGTCCCCATCACATCCCAGTGTCCACCCCGCCCTCCCCTTCCTCCCCCCCCACCCTCAGGCGCGGGTCCCCTCGGGCCACTGCCAGGACCCCCCCGGCTGCCGCCAGCGCCACCAGCGCCGCCAGCGCCGCCCCCCCGAACACGCCCCGTGCCCCCCCCTCCCCGGGGGGCAGCGCCGGCAGTGCCAGGGCCACCCCCAGCCCCAGGGGCACCCGCAGCCACCGCGACCCCCCTGCGGCTCCCCCCTGCTCCAGCCGGCGCCGCAGGAACCCCATGGCTGGGAAGTAAATCCCACAGGAGAATTCCAGCAGCAGGAACACCAGGAAGGCGCCGGGTGGGGGCACGGGGAGGGCAAGGAGGAGGAGAGAGACTCCCAGGAGCACGACGGACCCCAGCAGGAGGTGCAGGGGCTGCAGCCGGAGCCCCCCCCACGACCCCCTGGCGGAACAGGGATGATCCCACAGCACTTGCTGCCATAAATCCTGAGAAGGCGATTCCCAGTGGGATCCCCAGCGGCTCCAGCACGGGTGTCCAGAGAAAGATGAAGATGAGGATGACGCCCTCCACCAGTGCCTGCACCACCCCCAGCAGTGCCCCAGGGGGGTCCCGCAGCCCCCGCAGCCCCTCCCCACACGCCTTGGGGCAGGAGCGGTGTTTTCCATAATTCTCATCCCAGTTTTTCACGGCAAAAATCCCAGAAAAGGCCAGGAAGGGCACAGCTGCCACAAAGGGGGTCACGGGGCCCCCCCCCAGCACCAGCAGCTCAGCCACAGCCCCCGCAGCCACAGCCAGGACCCCGTTCCAAAGGGCCACACGGGAGAAGGTGTCTGGGATCCACTCCCGGGGGAAATCGTGGCGCTCCAGGTGCTCATGGACGTACCAGGACTCGAAGGAGGTGAAGAGCAGGGAGGTGCCGACGCCCCCCAAAAGCCGCCCCGCCGCCAGTGCTGGGAAATCCCGGGAGAGCTGCAGGAGGCAGGACAGGGAGCAGAGCACCGAGAACAGCACACAGGACCTTCTCCTGCCGAGCCGGTCCACAAAAGAGTGTGAGAAGAGCCCAAACACCAAGTTGGAGGCGAATCCCAATGAGTAGAGGGCGGCGATCTGCGTCTGCAGGAAGCCCCGACTGCGGAACACCTGGAACAGGTGAGGCCCCTGCAGCCAATCAGCTGCCAAGGCAGGCAGGAATCCCAGGTGGAAGCGCTGCTGGAATTCCTGGAATGCCGGGTTGGAGCTGGGGGGGCTCCGGGGAGGGAACTCCAGGAGCAGCAGCAGCAGCAGGAGGAGCAGGAGGGCACTGAGGGGCAGCAGGAGCATCGTGGGGAGGGGGGGGGGGATAAAGGGGTAAAGGGGGGGAGAAGGGGCAGCCTGTGGGGGGAAAAGGGGGGTCAATGATGGAAGAGGTTAGGGGGCACTTAAAAGGACCCCCCAGGTGTTATGTGGGTGTTTAGCGACTTCAACCCCAGGGAAACCCCCCAGACGGGCTACAGACCCCAGACTCACACACACCCCACAGAAGGCTATAGGGACCCCCACCCCACTGGGGGCTATGGGGAGCCCGACCCTCCAAACAGCCCCAAAGACTCCCACATCCTCCAAGAGCCCCCCTCACCTCCCCAGACCCTCCATAGCCCCCTCCCAGCTCCCATAAGATCCCCATATGGCCCCATAGGACCGCCCATTAACCCCTCCCAGAGCCCTCCCGGTCCCATAGACGCCCCATAGGCTCCCCATAGACCCCCACATCCCTCACTGGACCGCCATAGGCCCCCCCCAGCCCCACAGAGGCCCCATAGGACCCTACAGACCCCCACAGGCCCCAACAAAACCCTCCCATAGTCCCCACAGGACCATGCCAGACCCTCCCAGAACCCTCCAACCCCACTGGCCTGTCATAGGACCCCCACAGACCCACCACCCCCCAGGATCCCCGGGGCCTCACCGAGGTCGCAGCGGCCGGGCAGCTCCTCCACGGACCCACTTCCGCTTCCGCCTCCTCATGGGCGCAGCCATCTTGGCCCGTGTCACGTGACACAGGAACACTGCCCCCTTAGGGGTCTGTAGGGACCCCCCTGCCTTCCCTTGGGGGGTTATAGAGACCCTCCAGCCCAAAGGGACTCCTTCAGACACGCCCCAGACACCCCATGGGGAGGTTATGGCGTCTCTTTGGGGTGGGGGTCCCTGTAACTCCCACCATGGCGTGTCTGGAGGAGTCCCTTCGGGGTGGGGACCTCTATAACCCCCCCCAGGGGAGTCGGTGGCGTGTCACCCCATGACGTCACAATGACGTCACACCGAGCCTCCGCGTGGGGGGGATCACTGGGAGGTCCCCGGGGTCACACCCCCCCACAGGGTCACACATTCACGGCCCCAAACAAATACCCCCCTGCAACAGCCCCGACCACCCCACAGCTACCCCAACCCCGAGCAACTGCCCCAAACCTTGTGTAATTACCCCCGAGCAACTGCCCCAAATGCCCCAAATCCCCCTGCACAAATCCCTCCTGCAACTGCCCCAGTCCTTATGCAACTGCCCCAAATACTCCGTGCAAATGCCCAAGTCCTCGTGCAAATACCCCCAAGCAAATGCCCCCCGAGCAAACAACTGCCCCGCCCCCTCAATTGCCCCTGCCCCGTACAAATGCCCCAAACCTCGTGCAAATACCCCCAGTACTTGTGCACCTCCCCGTGCAATTGTCCCCCCCAGTTGCCCCAGCCCTTGTGCAAACCCTCGAAATGCTCCAACCTCCCCCTGTGCAATTTCCCCGCACCCCCGAATTGCCCCAGTCCAATGGAAACCCCCCGCCTGCCCCCACCCCATCCCGGGTCCGCCCCCCCGTGCCTCAGTTTCCCCAAATTTGGGGGCAGTTTCCCCCTTACTCACCTCGGCCGCCGGGTCCGGGGATCCCTGGGGAGCTGGGGGAGCGGACCCCCCTTACTTGATGCCGAAGCGGGGGCGGGTGTGGGGGCGGCGCGGGGGGGGGCAGCAGCGGGAGGGGGGACGGCACTGGGGGCAGGAGGGGGGGCGGCAATTGGGGCAGGAGAGGGAGCGACAATTGAGGCAGCAGGGGGGGTGACACGAGGGGGGACAGGGCGGGGGGTGGCACTGGGGGCAGGCGGGAGCAGGGGGGCAATAGAAGGGGTAACAGGGCGAGGGGTGACACTGGAGGCACCAGGGAGGGAGGTGGCACTGGGGGCCACAGGGAGGGGGGTCGCAGGGCGGAGGGGGGCACTGGGGGCAGCTGGGGGGGTGACATTGGGGGCAACAGGGCAGGGGGTGACATTGAGGACAGGCGGGCGGGGGGGGGGCACCAGGGAGGGCACCAGGGGAGGGGACAGGGTGGGGGGCAGCAGGAGGAGGGGGCACAGAAGGAGGGGGGGCAACAAAGAGGGCAGAGTGGGGAGGGGCAGAAGGGGGGGGCGCAGCACGCAGGGGGGTGGCAGAGGAGGGGGTGGCAGCCCCCGAGAGTCCCCCCGCGGCGGCGGGAGCGGGGTCGCGGCCAGCCTAGCCCCATGGCACTGCCACCCCCCTCGCCTCCCCCCGCCCGGTGGCACTGCCACCACCACCCCGGCCCCCCCCCACGCGGGATTTACCGGGAAAAGCGGCTGAGCCGCAGGGCACGAGGGGGGGCACATGGAGGAACCCGTGGGTGTGGGGACACGGAGACACGGGGAACAATGGGGGACACGGGGTCATGGGGACAGGGGGGACAAGGGGGACATTGGAGACATGGGGGATATGAGGGGCACGGGGGACATGAGGGACGTGGGGGACAGAACTGGGAGAAACACGACGTTATTGAGGGGCACGGGGGGGCAGGAGACAGGGGGACACGGGGAATGTGGGGGACATGGAGGGGACACAATTGGGGGACACGGGGAATGTGGGGGACATGGAGAGACATAGGGACAGGAGGGGACACGGAGTTATGGGGACGTGGGGGGGACACGATGGGGGACACAAGGGGGGGAACATGAATGGGGGAGACACGGAGGGGGACGGGGGACAAACGTTGGGGGAACACGAGTGAGGCAGACGTGGGGGGACACACGGGAGGGGACATCGAGGGGGAGATATGGGGGAACACGGGGGGTACAGGGACCCCCGGGGGGTCCCGGCGCGGTGGGGGCGGGGCCAGGTCCGCACAAAGGGGCCGTTGAGGCGCGGGTGGGGGGGAGGGGCAGGGGAGGAATTTCCACCCAAAACTTTTCCATGAGCCCATTCCTGCCCCTCCCCCCATCCCACTCCAACCCCTCCCCAGCCCGGGGGGGGCTCCCAGGGGAAACTGAAGCACGAGGGGGGGGGTTACTCGCGTGTGTGTGGGGGGACACGTGTGTCAGTGTGGGGGGATGTCCTCACGTGTCCTCCCGCCCTGACACTCTTGTGCAGGTCCCTGTTGACAGACACACGTGTGCAGTGACACGTGTCCAGGTGTGTTCCATGTGCAGGAACACGTGATTCCACATCCAAGTGTGTCACATGTGCAGTGTCACATGTCCAGGTGTGTCATATATGCAGTGACATGTGAGTCCATGTCCAGGTGTGTTTCATGTGCAAAGCCCCGGGAATGCAGCCTGGACACACCTGGACACGCCACGGGGTGGGAACACGCGTGCAATCGCACACACAGTCGTGTTGCTGCCTCGGGACTGGGTCTGCTCGTGGGGGGGAGTTGCACACCTGGGCACACCTGGACATGTATGTGCGGGGTCACACAAACCTGGACATATCTGTGTGCACCTGGACACGTGTGTAGGGTCACACACACCTGTGCACAGTCACACATCTGGGAGGATTGGGAGAGAATGGGGCAGTGACATGGACTGGGAGGACTGGGAGGGACTTGGGAGGTGACAGGGGCTGCGAGTATTGGGGAACTGGGAGGACTGGGAAGACGGGTGGTGACATGAGGACTGAGAGGGACTGGGAGTGCACAGGATGGAACTAGGAGGGGACTGGGGAGGGAGTGAGATGAGGACTGGGGTTACTGGGAGGGGCTGGAGGGAGTGACAGTGAGGATTGGGAGGACTGGGAGGGACTGGAGGAGGTGACACTGGGACTGGGAAAACTGGAAGGACTGGGAGGGAGTATGCACAGGATGGAACTGGGAGGGGACTGGGAGGGGCTGGGGGCGGGACGGGGCGGCCCCTCCCTCCTGGCGGCCGGGATGTGTGTGTGACACGTGTGACACCGTGTGTGTGGCACGAATGACGTGTGTGACACGAATGACGTGTGTAACACGTGTGACTCGTGTGTGCGCTACTCCGCGTGTGACTGCGGCCCCAGGCCCCGCCCACACATCCGAGCCCCGCCCTTCGCTCAGACCACGCCCCATCCGTATTCAGCCACAACCACCGAGGCCCCGCCCCTCACTTAGACCAAGCCAAATTCATCATCAGGTCACGCCCCTCAAAACCCTCCCCCCCCTCCCCTCCCGGTCAGCCCCTCCGCCTTTCCCCCTTCCCATTCATCCCATCCCCTCGAGCCCCGCCCTCTTTCAGGCCCCACCCCATTTCAGACCCCGCCCCTTTCCCGGCTCCCGACTCACCCCACCCCTCAGGCCCCGCCCCTTCCCCGGGGGCGTGGCCGGGCCGCACCCGCCGGGGCCGAGCGGGGCCGGTCGGGGCCGATCGCGGCGGGGGGGTGTTAGGGGGTGTCGGGGGCCTCCGAGGGTCCTGGGGGGCTCAGGAGGACCATGTTCGACTGCCTGGAGGCGGCGGCGGCACCGCGGCGGCTCCACGACGTGACCAACCGGGGGGGGCTGCGCCCTCCGCAGGGTCCTGGTGCCCGCGGGCTGCGGGACCCCCGCCCGCAGAGGTACCGGGGGGCACGGGGGGGACACGAGGGTGAGGAGGTTGAGGGAGGAATGCGGCGCGGGAAGGGCCCTGGGCGAGGGAGGTGGGGGGGCAGATGCGCGAGTGGGTGTGGGAGGCGAGGGAGGGCGGGGAAGCGTCTGTGAGCTTGAGTTTGAGTTTGAGTGTGCAAATGAGTGTGAGAATGAGTGTGAGAGCGACGGGGAGCGGGGGGTCGGTGTGTGCGGGGGGGGTCGGTGGATTCGTGGTCCGCGAGTGGGTTTGGGGGAGCGAAAAAGAGTCTCTGAGTGTGCAAATGAGTGTGAGAGCGACTGGGAGTGTGCGAGGAGCGGGAGGAGTCGGTGGGTCCGGGGGGTAGGTCAGTGGGTGCGTGGGGGGGTCGGTGGGTCCGTGGTCCGTGCGTGGGAGTCTCTTAGTGTGATCCTGAGTGTGCAAACGAGTGTGAGAGCGAGTGCGAGTGTGCGGGGAGCGAGGGGGGGGTCGGCGGGTGCGCGGGGGGGGGCGTGTCCGTGTC